GAACTTTGAGCCTGGGGGACGCATGTGCAGTCATGTCATGTGGGTAAAGATGGGAAGAGGACGGGGCGAAGGGTGAAGGGCAGACTGACAGAAGACAGAGCCGGAGAATCGCAGGGGGAGAGAAGAGGCCTTGGGACCACGTCTCACGCTCAGGGCACACCCTCTTCCCCTGTGAGCTGTTTCCGTGCTGGTCCTGTGGGTGAGCAGGTGAGCATGGGTCCCTGCCTGGGCCTGCCCTGCATAGGCCTGGGGATGGGTGAGGAGTGAGGAAGGATCTAAAGCTCACCGAGACCTGGGCAGCTGCGGAGTGAGGGCTGTTCTAGAGCTTTCCTCCTCTCCTGGACCTCGCTCAGCACCGCCCCCTCCCCATGATGGGATGGCTGCTCATCCCAGCTGCGTTCCTTTCCAGTGAAAAATCAGATCCGGACCAGAGTCCCTGATAGCTCCATGGCCCTCCCTGAGGCCTTGCTGGCCCATCCCTTCCCTGCTGTGCCTGAGGATCCCCCTCCACCCCAATGCCTGTAATAGTCAAAGTTTCAACTGTGGGGAAAGAGAGAGAGCCAAAGAGAGGCATAAGTGTGAATTGCTTGGCACACAGTTGATGCTCAATTAGTGCACCTTTCCCTGGGTGTGTGTGTGGGGAGAGCCAGTAGGAAGCAAAGGATGGAGGACAGAAGGGAAAGGGGAGGGTGTGTGGGAAGGAAGTGCTTGTAATAAGCTCAGCACACATCTGGCATCTAATAAATGTCTATTCGTCCCCCTGGCAGACAGCAGCAGGAAGCAGAGGCTGACAGAAACCACTAGCCAGTGGAGTGTGGAGGACAAGAGAGACCACCATTGCTTGGTATACCAGAAGTGCTCAGTAGATGCATTCTTTGTCTTGGAAGAGGGCAAAGAGATGAGAGTTGAGGGAGAGGAGGGTGTGAAGTGCCTGATACACAGTGGGTGCTCAAAGTGTGTCCATTCCCTCCCTCAAGAGGGCAGAAAATGGGGGGGTGTACCCACAGGACAGAGGACATGGGGGTGCAGACGGAGAGGAGCTGGTATCTGTGAATACCCTGTATACAGCAGGTGCTCACGAGATGCCAGTTTCCATGTGGGAAGCAACCAGGAAAGGGGAGGAAGAACGGGGTGGAGGGGACAGAGGAGTCCCTACAGAAAGCACAGAGAGAGTGTGGAAAGGGGCCGAGCCATCAGGGTGACCTGAGCCCAAAGACTTCTGGGGCCCAGGAAGGGGTTTGAGGCGGAGGTGGCGGCTGCCCCCAAGGCCTGGTCTCTGCAACTCCTCTGCCCAGGGTGGAGCCAAGCGCCACAGGCCCTAGGAAGGAGGTGGGGACGGAGCCCCCAGCTGTCAGGAGCGGAGGGCACAAGGGCGCATTGTCCTGGTGCTGGCTCAGCCTGGCTCAAGGGGGAGGGGACCGGGCCATCAGGGTCCCTATCTGCAGTGCGGTGCAGGGTGCTGCCTGGCCTCTGCATCCTGTGACCCGCTGCCCCAGTGACTGCCTGCCTGCCTGCCTGCCTGCCTGCCTCCCTCCCTCCCTCCCTCCCTCCCTCCCTCCCTCCCTCCCTCCCTCCCTCCCTCCCTCCCTCCCTCCCTCCCTCCCTCCCTCCCTCCCTCCCTCCCGCTGAGTTGGGGAGGAGGGTTCATCCCCACCCTGGTCCCCAGCCCCTCAACCGCCGGCCCGGCTCTGGGCTGGGTGTGGGTGGTGGCAGAGGAGGAAGGAAAGAAGGCAGAGGAGTGAGAGCCAGGACAGAATCGGCTTTATTCAGCAGGGAACAGAGGGCTTCGCCCAGAGGAGGGGGGTCGGAGAGGGAGGAAGAGGGAGAGCCCGAGAGGGGGAGGGACAGGTTGAGAAGAGGCCGACCGGCATGTGGGGGCGGAGGGGGGGAACAGATACAGAGATGCAGAGAGAGAAACAGAGATGAAAGAAGACGGAAAATCAGGCAGAGAGATGAAGAGAGAGACAGGCTGAGAGAGACGAGAGATGGAGACGGAGAGAAGGAAAATCAGACTGAGAGACAGGGAGAGAGGGAAAATCAGACTGAGAGACAGAGACAGAGTTGGAGACAGACAGAGAGAGACAGAGTCAGAAGTAAAAATCAGAGAGAGAGAGAGAGAGAGAGAGAGAGAGAGAGAGAGAGAGAAGGTCGAGGAGAGAGAGGAGGTCGAGGGGGAAAATCAAGCAGAGAGAGATAGACAAAGAGAGAAAGTGAAGGTCAGGCTGAAAGAGACAGAGACACAGAGACTGAGAGAGACCAAGAGACAGAGCGAAAGAAAATCAGAGAGAGAGAGAGAGAGAGAGAAGGCCAAGAAAGAAAATTAAGCAGAGAGAGATAGAGAGAGGGAAGATCAGGCTGAAAGAGACAGAGACACAGAGAGACCAAGAGAGACCGAGAGACAGAGAGAAAGAAAATCAGAGAGAGAGAGAGAGAGAGAGAGAGAGAGAGAGAGAGAGAGAGAGAAGAGAAGGAAAATTAAGCAGAGAGAGACAGAGAGAGGGAAGATCAGGCTGAAAGAGACAGAGACACAGAGAGACTGAGAGACAGAAAGAAAATCAGGGAGAGAGAGAGAGAGGCCAAGAAGGAAAATGAAGCATAGAGAGATAGAGGGAAGATCAGGCTGAAAGAGACAGAGACACAGAGACACACAGAGAGACAGAAAGAAAGAAAACCAGACTCAGAGAGAGAGAGAGAAAGAGAGAGACAGAGAAACAGACGGAAAGAAAACCAGACTCGAGAGAGAGACAGAGAGACAGAGAGACAGAGAGAGACAGAAATGAAGAGACAGAGATGGAAAATCAGGCAGAGAGAATGAGATGGAGAGAGAGATACAAAGGGAGGCAGAGGGAAAATTAGGGACAGAGATACAGAGAAAGACAAATGGAAACAGAATCAGGTGGAGAGATAGGAAGAGATGAAGACAGAGATGGAGAGAGAGATGAAAGCGAAGAGAGGGAAAATCAGGCAGAGAGAGACAGAGACAGAGAGAGGGAGGCAGAGAGAGACGAGAGCGAGAGAGAGAGAGAGAGAGGGAGGGAGGCAAAGGTCAGAGGCAGAGAGAGAGAGAGAGGGAGAGAGAGGCAGAGAGAGACAGAGACAGAGAGAGAGAGACAGAGACAGAGGCAGAGGTTGGAGGCAGAGGTCTAGGCTTGAAGGCAGGAGCCCAGTCAGGGACGCAAGCAGACAGGTGGAGAGATGCTGGGTGCCTCATGGGCCACAGCAGCCGCGCGACCCTCTCACCTGATGTTGGTGTCAGCGCCCCCAACCCCAGTATGAGCCCTGACATTTAAGGGGTGCCCTGGGGGCGGGTCCTGTCCCACTCAGTGCCTTATCTGGCCAGACCCAGGCCCTGTAGCTAAATCCAGCCTCAGCTGTCAGCAGGGCAGCGACAGCTGCACACATCAATCCTTCTCCTCATACAGCCTGTGCCCTGGGTCCCTGGGGGTCAACATGGAGCCCTAAATCTCCAGCAGGACACCCCAGGAGTCTCCAGCTTTAGGGCAGGCCTAGCCAGGTGTGCTGGGGTCAGGGGTGCTTCCCTCAGAATTGGGGTGTCAGTAGAGGCGGGGAGCCAGCACACTGGGGCAAACAGGAGGCACTCAATCAGTGTGCAGGCCCCGGCCCATCCTCCTCTGTGGGCTCCTCACTTCAGACCTTATTTGGCCACAGCTGAGGATTCACCTGGGGGGTCACAGGCTGTGGCCACTTGGGGCCAAGAATAGTAACAGGCAGGAGTCCTGCCAGCTGCCCCTACCCGGGATGAGACCTGCGGAGACAGGCAGGCTGGAGGGGGAGGGACAGGAGGAAGGAGGCCCAGAGGGATTTCAGAGCTGTAGAAGGGACATGGCGGCGCACACTGGTAATCCCAGCACTCTGGAGGCTGAGGCAGGAGGATTGCCATGAATTTGAGACCAGCCTGGGCTACACAATGAGATTCTGCCTCAGAAAAGAAGAGGGGGGCAGATTGAGAGGGGCAGTGACATACAGAAAAGGGAGAGAGAGAAAATGGGTTAACGCAGACCCAGAGGGCAGGACATGGCTGGAGGGATAGGGAGAGACAGGGAGACCCAGGGAGGGCTCCAGGGCCCCAGGGCTGGGTATTGGGGGCCCCAGGACTGTGTTTGGGGCCTAGCGTATGCCCCTCTCCATGTGCTGTCTTGGTTTCTACTTTACAACTTATCATTTGGGACTGTGGCAGTGGGAGCCCAGCTTCCCCAGGGCTTTTACCAGTGTGGTGCCAGGTGTCCACCACACCCCCATGGTGCCAGGGTGAGGCTTGTGTCCAGGAGTGAGTTTATTGCCAGGGTGGGTCCCAGCTGAGCAGTGATGCTACACCCCAAGCCAGACCCTTCTTATCTCACTCATGATCCTCAAATGGTCTCCTGGACCCCTGCCCTCATGGCTTGGATCTCACAGGCCTGTCCCACAGGCCGAGTGCAGGGGGCCCAGGGCCAGAACCCTGGCTATCTCTTCTCCCTCACCTCCCACCCCCCACTTCCACAGTGTGCTCTTATCTGGGCACTCCTCCTGGCTCCATTCCCCTCCACTGTCTCAGATAGGCCTGTCTGTCAACACCTCCCCAAATAACTGCAGCTGATAAAAGGCTACAGAGCTCTGCCCTCAGCTGCCTCCAGTTCTGGGGCCCCTCAACTTCCAGTGACCCTAATGGAGACATGTCCTTCCATTTCTTTGGCAAGGCTGAGCCCATGAAGGCTTCCCTGAGGCCGCTGTAAGGAACCCCCAAACCCTTGTCAAGGCTTCTGACACACCAATTGCCCATAGAGGTCAGAGCCACTGGGAGTCAAGGTTCAGTCACAGGCCGCTGACCATCTTTGGGGACCACTGAAGTGCCCATCTCCCCTGCATCCATGTTGCGGGGAAGTTAGCCCCACTTCAGCCTTCGTTACTGATCATGTGAGGTGATATGTGTGTCCTGCCTCTGTCCCTGGAGGGGCACCTGGCCTCCCTTAAAGGGCAGCCCCAGGAGTTGGGCTCAGTCAGACACAGCAAAAGACCAGATTTATTGAGGCAACAGCGGCATGGGGGGCAGGGTGCGCCTCCCAGGGACCTAAAGTGTAGGTCCTTTCTAGGCACTGGGAACTCGGCTGTGGCAGCAGGTGGCGGTCATCTGCAGCCGGTGGGTCAGCTTGTGTGCAGCCAACAGCCGGCCTCCTCCACCTCCTTGGTCACCACCAACAGCACCTCACACAGGCCCTGGGCCAGGGCTGTCTCCAGGAAGACCCTGTTTGGGGGAAGGAGAAACTGAGGTCCCAGGCCACAGCCTGTCCCTGCAGGGCGGGTCTAGCACATGCCAACCATAGATACTTCTGCCATGTCTCACCTGACGCCGTCCTCATCCCCCAGGACCTCGGGTGCCCGTAGCTTGGAGTCAAGGTTATAGTAGACGCCACCCACCTGGCGCAGGGCCACCCAGTGCCGGCGCCGCAGTGGCAGTGACAACAGCCCCAGAGACACTGGCGAGGGCAGGTTCAGGATCAGGCCTAGCACCTGGGGCAGGGCCATCTGTGACAGGGGTCTGCGGATGTGAGGGGCACAGTATGAGGCCCCAGAGCCATGGAGGTCCAGGCTGTGGGGAGCACAGGTCCTTGGAGCCTGCTTCCCCCTCCTCCCTGCCCAGCAAACCACCCAGTTGCCACCCACCGTTTTGCTATTTGTCATCAATATGTAGCCCAGGCTGGCCTGCCGTCCTCCTGCCTCAGCCTCCAGAGGGCTGGGGTGACAGGCCTATGCCATGCCTGACCCCACCTCCATCTCCCCTCTCAGCCCCTCATCATCTACTTGGACCCACATAACCCCCTTTGCCTGTCAGTTCATCAATTTACCCTATCATTCAGTTAGTTCCTGGTCAGCCTTCCTTTGCCCTGGCCATCAACCTTCAAGCCCCATTCTGGATCTCCCCATAAGCTCAGGGTCAGCACAGCCCACAGTCGGGGGCCCTACCTCCTTCTATCCCACCACACGGCGGCCAGGCCCAAGCCCTGCAGAGCCGCCATGATCACATTGACATCGTAGTTGCCGGTGCCCAGCAGGCTTCGATGAGGGTTCAGGCGGGAGTCTGGGGCTAGCCTGGGGGTGGGCAGAGCCAAAGTTGGGGATCTTGAAAGTGCCCCCAACTTCCCACACAGTAGGAGGGGCCCAGAGCCCAGCCTTTCGCTCTTTCTTCTCTCTTTTCAACTCATAGAGTTTATGGGTCCCCAAGTCCTGTCCCCACAAGTCCTGTTGGAACAGGCCCAGCTACAGCTTTTGTTTTCTCCCTCCTGGACCCCCTCAGTCTCCAGTCTCCCCTCCATCCCACCTCCCCGCAGCCCCCAGCTGCCCCTCCACACCCACCTCTCTCTCCCCAGTGCCCTGGACAATGTCCCTGCCCTCCTGTCCCACTCTCTTCCCAGACTGGCCTCCGATGTCACTTCTGAAAGGGGCCTCCCAACCCCCAGGCTGGGGCCTTCTGAGCCACCTGTGTGACAGGGTCACTGCCCTCAAGTGTGCTCTGTCTGTTTCCCCAGCCTCCTCCCCCTCTTCCCATCTGCCTCAGCTCTGGCTGCCCAGCATGGCCTTGGCGTGAACAAACTGGTGACAGGGAGGCAAACACGTTCTAGAATCATCAGTGAGAGGCAGCAGGAGAGGCAAGGAGAGACAGCCTGGGAGGAGGCCTGGTGGAAGGATTGTGGGGTCCAGAGGAAGGGTGGGCCTTGGAGTCTTACGAAGTTGATGGCTGAAATCATGAGGCACATCTAAGTGGCCAAGACAGAGATATGCCCTCCAGAGAGAACAGCCTGCGCAAAGGCACAGAGGCACCACAGTGGAGCCAAGAGGGGCTCAGGAGAAGTCTAGGTCAAAAGGAACAGTGAAAGATGAAGCCTCAGAGTCAAACTGGGGACAGAGCATCTAGGGTGTTGGGACCTGGGTCATTCTTTAGGAGCACTGAGGAAGCTGTGGAAACATAAGCACAGGGTGAGCTATGAGGCTGATGGGCAGCCAGGAGGCTGTGACAAAGGCCCAGATAAAGAGGGTGAGGCCTGAGCTGGGGCTCAGTGGAGGAGGTGGAGGCCTGACAGCTCCGAGTCAAGCCCTAGGACCTGGATCCTGGCCTCGCTGGTGGCCCCAGGCAGGCCTTTCTGCCTCTCTGTGCACCCTCCTTGTCTAGGGCCAGGGCTGACCACAGTCACCTTTTGCAGATCTCATCCGCGGCCTCCTGGCTAAACAGCTGCTGTTGGAGCACATTGTTGAGTGCGTGGACGGCACACAGCTCCAACCTTTGTCGCTCGTGGTACACCGAGGGCGCGCTCGGCCTTGCTTCTGGGGCCTGAGACATGCCCTCCTCTGCTCCTGCTGTGGGTGGGGTGGGGAGAAGGTGCTAGGGACCCAGGGTTTGTTGTCCGGACTCCCAGAGGGTCCCTGAGCCATCACCATTTAGGGGAGGGAATGGGACCAGCTTAGGAGGACACGGGCCCCTGACCAGAGACACCTCCATTCCCTCATGTTGGAAAAAAAAAAAAAAAGTTCTTTTCTGCTCACCTGGCAATAGACAACCATCCCCACCACATCCTCTCTTAGCAAAAGGGTCCAGATCACCGTCACCTAGCAACAGAGGATCAACCCCCTCTGTCCCTAGGTAACAGAATCCCTCTTTTCGTTACCAAGCAACAGCGCACACCCCCCCTCCCCTCGGTAACCAAGTACGTTTTTTGATCACCTAGCAATAGAGAACTCCTTCTTCCCCGTCTCTAGGTAACAGGGTCCTCTTCTGGTCGCCTAGCAACGGAAGACTTCCCCTTGTCAATAGCCAGGGTTCTCGCCTCTTGTCACCTGGCAACAAGGCCCCCCCCAAGTCACTAAGCAATAGGATCCCCTCTTCCTGTCACTTGGCAATCAAGCCCACTCCCGACCCTTCTCTGTGCGCGGCGCTCGCCCTGGCCTTCAACCGGCCGGCCTCTCCACTCCCCGGGGCCCGGCCGCTCCCGCATCCCCCTGGGCGGCGGCCCGGCGGCACCGCGCTGACTGGGCAGGCGGGATGGACTACAACTCCCGGCGACCCGCGCGCGCCGGACTACTATTCCCAGGGGCTCTCGGCGGCCGTCGAGCTGGCTTCAGTGTCCAGAAGGGCACCGGAGCCGCTCCACCTCTCGGGACTACAACGTCCCTCGGCCTTTGTTGCCAACTTTCCCGTGCTGTCAACGCCCACAGCTGCTTAAAGGATTCTGGGAAATGTAGTACACAGGCTCTCGCGATAGCGTCAGGGCGGCTGGGCTACGAGTGTGCGCATGCGCTTGCTGCCATGGCATGAGACACGTCATACACTGTGTCTAGCTGAGGTGTGACGTCACGAGAGGGGTAAAGAAACAGACAAGGTAAAGGAAGCAGAAATCTCATGTTTACTGAGACACGGTGGCCATGGGTGACAGTGGGGCAGTGCGGGAGCAGGCTTGTCAGCAGAGGTGGATCCCAGGCCTGGAGGGGAGCTGGCAGCAGCCTGTGTGGGGAATGAAAGGTTAATATGGAGAAGGTGACAACAGACTCATGCAGGGGGACATAGGGACTGTGGACTTTGCAAATGGGAGTGTGGTACAACCAAAGAGGAACAGATGTGGGAGTGGATGGTGAGACAGGGTTGGGGTGAGGGGGCAGAGATTGAGAAAGACAGGCATACTCAGGGTCTCTCTCTCTCTCTCTCTCTCTCTCTCTCTCTCTCTCTCTCACACACACACACACACACACACACACACATACACACACACATGGGCTGGGAATGTCACCTCAGGATGTCCCATTCTGTTTTTAATGGGAATTGTAGAGCCAGGCCAGGACACCTGAGCTTGGCAAAGCACAAATATCCAGTTCTATGTCCCCACCTACCCTCCTCTTAAGCCCCCCTCCCACTTGGGGGACTGCCCGCACCCAGGAGGCTACGCCAGAAGGCTGCCACAGTCGCAGAACCAGTGACAGCGCCGGGCTGGGCCGGGTTCTCTCTGTGTGTATGCACCGCAAAGCTGCGGCCTGTGGGCCCAGGAGGGCCTGTCAGCTCCACGTCCACCACGTGCATGTCTGTGAGGCTGCAGGGATCAGAGCATGCAGTCAGTGTGGTTGGTCAGGTGGCTGCAGCCAGACCGCCCATCTCTGCTCACTCAGCTCACCTGAGGTCGGCCACAAGCACCCCAACGACGCTGTCAAAGCCCAAACTGGGAGCCGCCAGAGCGGCAGCTGCCATGGTGTTGGAGTTTCGGGGGGCCAAAGGGCAGAGCCCACGCACAGGACCCTCATAGAGCACAGTTCGGGATCCACCCACTGGGGCTGCGGCCAGGGGTCCCTCGAGGCGGAAGCCATCTGGGTGTGTGGCCATGGTGACTCGAAGGCTCTGGAATCAAGGGCAGGTCAGGACAGGGACCCTTGCAGAATCCTTCTGATTGCTGCCCAGCAGAAGCTCCTCACCTGGAGGCCTCCTAAGGCATCCAGTCTGTTGATATCCTCTGTCCCCCACAGGGCTCCTCGGGCCACAAACACAGCATGACCCCAGCGGTGTGAAGCCTCCAGGAGCTGCTGCTCTGTGGTCTGGTCAGCCAGGGCTGAGGGAGACCCCACCTGGTGGGGAGGATGGTAGGGAGAAGGGAGGCGACGGTACAGATCACTGCTGTGGGGTAGGGTAGGGGCTGGCAGAAGGGGGCTGGCTATGTGGGGGGGCTCACCAGGAGGTCAGCATGGCGCAGAATTTGTGCCCCAGATTCATGGATTATTTTGGGATGGGCCACTTCTATCACAAGGTCAGGGTGCCTGGGAGAGGGAGACATGGAAGAGGACTTGGAGAGGAACAGGGTCTCCTGTCTCCAGGCTCCTCAGAGCACAGAGGGCTTTCAGTCCTTACCCTGGCTTGGGAAGGACCCGGGTTTGTCCTGTTTGATGTTTGGGTGAACTGAAGTGCAGAGAGGGTAAGGGGCTTGCCTGACGCACACAGCAGCATGGGGGCTCTCTCACCATGGGCCACTGACCTTCCCTCAAGGGTATCGAGGTCCTGGAGCTGCAGGGCAGGGGGCACGCTCCCGACCATATGTCCAGGGTTACGGTTCCACACAAAAACAAGTTCTAGACCCAGTTCTGATCCCTGAGCCAGAAGGCGGGACACAAGGGACTGTCCTGCAGAGAACGAGAGGGCTAGAGACCTCCAAAGGGGGGGTGTTCAGAAACAGAGACCGAGAGAGAGAGACAGAGAGAGACAGAGACAGAGACAGAGAGAGAGACAGACAGAGTGAGACAGAGACAGACAGACAGACAGAGACAGAGAGACAGACAGAGACAGACAGAGACAGAGACAGAGAGACAGAGACAGAGAGAGACAGAGTGACAGAGGCAGAGAGAGAGACAGAGACAGAGAGTGACAGAGGCAGAGACCTAGAGGGAGAGAGAAAGAGACCCTGAGGGAGACAGAGATGGAGGTGGGCACAAGAGACCAGAAGAGAGGGAGACAGTGGGGAGGGCAGAATTGGGGTGGGCTGGCAGATAAGGTAGCAGACTAGGCTGAAGAGATGTGGGGGTTGAGAGACTTCAGGGGCCTGGGGACAGGTCTATGGAAGGAGGCCCAGGCTGGTGCAGACTTACCTAGGCGGCCATAGCCCACCACCCCCACCTTCCGTGGGATCCTGTCAGTGGCCATGTCCTGCACACGGTGCTCTGCTGTGAGGGGATCTGCAGGGCAGTTGGTCTATACTAGGCCTGGGCAGTGGCTGATCTTTGGACTTTAGACCCGTGACCCTTCTCTGCTGGTGCCAGAGTCAGGGAGCAGGTTGGTGGGGATGGGGTGGGAGGGGGCACCTCTGTCCCTCCTGTGCTGGATAGTGGGCATGGTGACCTGGGCGCTGGGTCACGTGTGACCTTGCATGTCCCACGCCCTACTTCCCATGGCTCCTGTGCAGCCCACACTCTCCCCCACCCTCCCACCCTGCAGAGGTGGAAAATTCCCTCTGCAGTCCCCGCCCTCTTGGCTGGCCTTAGGTTGCCATGGAAACTGCATCTTGCTTGGAATGGGAGAGGAGCTGGTGACAAGGACTCAGGCCCCTCACTAGGTCTTTTGCACCCAGGTCCCTTTAAGCATGCTTTTTGTCCTGATGCTTAAGTGAGAAGGGCTGGGCCTGGCTGGAACACTGTCCCCCCACATGCCCTGCCTCCGTGGGGCCCATCCCCCTCAGCCCTGTGGAAGAGGGTCTCTCCACATCCCTCTGCCCCAGTCAGAGTCCCCTCCCTCCCTCCAGTGCCTGATCGCCCTTGAGCTCACCTCATCTGTCCACCACACACCCCACCATGAGGTCACAGTCTCCTGCCCCCTCCCTGTATTCTTGGTTCCCTGTCCCCCTCCTCAGTCCTCCATCCTATGGAGGAGGAACCCAAATGCCCAAGGATGAGCCCCGCAGCCGCTGCCAGGCAGGCCTGGCATGGGACATGGCCGGCTGCGGCAGGCCGGCTCCCTGCCCCCATCACCACCTGGTACCACCGCAGTGTTGCCAAGGCAACCAGGATCCTTACAGAGATGGCTGCAGAGAAGGCAGGAAAGATGGAGAGAGAAGTTGGAGGGCACAGCAGCCCTGTCCCTGTCCTGGGCTCTGTCCACAGAGATGAGACAGACCCGGGAGGGAGAGAAGGCCAAGACGCCGGCAGTTGTCACAGAAAAGAAAAGACTCTAAAGAGCTCAGGGTGGGGGAGAGAGAAGAGGGGGGGATAGGGAAAAGCGGGGGACAGGCACCCCATGGTTCAGGGGTGCTCTCCTGACTTCCCGTGGAGCCTGTGTCCCCACAAAGTCCAAGCTGCTAATGTGTGTGGATGACAGGTCAGGCTGCCCTGGCCCAGCCCCGTGTCCCCAGGCCGTCTGCCTGGGCTCTGATCTCCTCAGCTTCCTTGAGCCTCCCCTGACTCCCTGGGATGACAGCTCTGGGAACCCAAGCCTCTGGGGGACCAACCTTGGACACTTGGCTCACTCTGAGATATCACACGCTGTCTGCACTCCAGCAGCTGCCCCGTCCTGGCTGAGCCGAGTTCCCCACATGGTGGCTGCATACTCTCTGGGGACTCTGCCCACCACATCCCTTGGTCCCTCTCCATTGTGTTGCAACCGACCTGCAGCCCAGGCTCGATACTCTGTGTGCACCTCCCTTGCACCCACCTGCTGTCTTCCCAGCAGACTGTGTGTGTGAGTGTGTGTGTGTGTGTGAGAGAGAGAGAGAGAGAGAGAGAGAGAGAGAGAGAGAGAGAGGCTCCCCTGGGGTGCACAGGGTGAGCCTGTCCCTGTCCCTGGTCCTCTGGGATGGAGACTTGAAGGAGCCCGTGACTGCTGGGCACACACGGTTTTCCGCCTGTCCAGCCCGTCTTGATTCTACCATAGTCATTGTGTACCCTGTCTCCTCCCCTCTGCTTTTCATGACCAAAAAAAAATTTTTTTTTTTTACTTTTTCCATGTTTTTTTTTAAAGTAATTACAGAGCAGGTAGTCGACGCAAACCTCCCTTCAGTATCAAAAGAGTCTGTGTGGAGGGTGGGACTAGGTGAGGGGACCGGGGGCTCCCAGCCTGGGCCAGGACTGTGGAGCTTGGTGCTGGGAACCTGGAAGGGGTTGTCACCCGGGCTCTGGTGAAGTTGTCTGTCTCTTGGATTTTGAGGGCGGAAGAGTGGGAGGGAAGGGCAGGCATCAAACTGCAAAAGAAATAAAAAAGAAAAAGAAAAGAACCATAAAAGGAGGGTCTGTTGGGGTGAGGGGAAAGGGCAACCCTCAAAAAAAAAAAAAAAAAAAAAAAAAAAAGCTCCTGGCCCCTGGAAGGTGGCAGGCAGGGCGGGTGGGCAGAGGACGGGCCAAGGCGCAGGGCTGGGCTGCTTCTCCTGAACCCCAGGTCCCCGTCCTGCGGCCAGGATGGCATGGCCGAGGGCTACACGGGCCAGGAGCCCCACCCGTGTCCCTGGGCCCTTGCGTGTCCAGAAGGCCCCAGGCCTCAGATCTGTGTTTCTTGCACGTTTTCCTTGGAACCGCTCTTGAAGAGCAGAGGTTCGTGGATGGAGTTGAGGCCCGGGCCTTTGCCCCCGCAGCTCCCACTGCCTGGGGTGCCGCTGTAGTGGGCCTTGAAGGCCGCCGCCACGTAGTGGTGGTGGTTCAGGTGGTCTCGTTCCAGGGCGGGCAGGGCCAGGTGGCTGTCCCCACCCACGCCTGCGCCTCCGGCCACCGCAGCAGCCGCGGCCACAGACACGGCGGAGGCGGCGGGCAGCTCGTCCTCCACGTTGATGATCTCCACGGTGCGCGTGGGCCCATGGTGCTTGTGGAGCTGGTGCTGTTTGCGCAGTTTGTAGAAGGCCACCAGCATGACGGCGGCCATGAAGGTGATGGCCACGAAGCAGCCGATGATGATCTTCGTGGTCTTCATCACGTCGTCCAGGTCTTTGAGCGCGTTCTCCGTCACGTCCGTGATGGGCACCGTGAACGTTTTCTCCGTGGGCTTGGAGGAGCGCGGCGCGGGCGCCGTGGTGGACGCCGCCGCCGGACCCCCCGCGTCCCCGGGTCGGCCCCCACCCCACGCGCCGTCCGTCGTGGGTCCCGGCGGCTCCTTCTCGGTCCCGCGAGGCTGCAGCGCCTCCTCCCCGGGCGGCGTCTCCAGCGTCTCCACGGTGACCGTGGTGAAGTAGGTGTAGCCGCCGCTGCCCCCGCCCCCGGGGCCGCCCCCGCCCCCCGCGCCCCCGGCCGCCACGGGGTCCACTGCCGACACGTTGAGCGTGGCTGAGGCGGTGGTGTTGCCAGCCGAGTTTGTCACCATGCACGTGTACTGGCCAGTGTCCTGCACGGTGACGTTGGTGAAGTTGAGCGTGCCGTCATGCAGGACCGAGATGCGCACGCGGTAGGAGCCGTGCGTCATGAGCGTGCCATTGGGCGTCAGCCAGTTGACCGACGTCATGGATGTGCCAGTGCGGCACTTGAGCTCTGCTGCCATGCCCTCCGTGACGTTCAGGTCCGTGGGCGGCTCCACGATGACCGGCGCGTAGCAGGTGAAGTGCGACTGGTCCAGCTCGCCTATGTAGCGGCCCTTGAGGCCCGCGGGCGCGTGGCAGCGCGCGCAGCACGTGGTGTTGCTGGGCACCGTCTCCTTGAGCCACCAGCTGAGCCACAGCACGTCGCAGTTGCAATGCCAAGGGTTGTGGTTCAGATGGACGCGCTCCAGGCGGTGCAGGGGCGTGAAGAGGTCGTGGGGCAGCGACATCAGGTTGTTGTGAGACAGGTTCAACTCCTCCAGCGACTTGAGGTCGTCGAAGGCGTTGCGCTCGATGGTGGCCACCTGGGCGTGCATCAGCCACAGCTTACGCAGGCTGGTGAGGCCCTGGAAGGAGCCGGGGCGGATCAGGTCCAGCCGGTTCCCCGACAACTCCAGTTCCTCCAGGCGCACCAGGGCCGTGAGGTTGGGGATGTCCTTCAGGTTGCACATGCCCAGGTTGAGGTAGCGCAGGTTCACCAGCCCCTCGAAGGCCGCCTCCGAGATGTACTCCAACCGCTTGAGCTCGCCCAGGTCCAGGCGGCGAAGCGAGGGCACGCGGTTGAAGGCGTAGGACGGGATGCTCTCGATGGGGTTGTTACGCAGCCAGAGCTCACGCAGCTTGGACAGGTACTCGAAGGCCTGCGTGGGTACCGTGGTCAGCCGGTTGTCAAAGAGCTCCAGCGTGTTGAGACTGGGCAGCCCATTGAACGCGCCCACCTCGATCTTGCGCACCAGATTCTTGCTAAGCTGCAGGATCTCCAGGTGCCGTAGGTGCTTGAAGGTGTCTGTGCGGATCACCTGAAGGGGGAAGAGACACGGGTCAGTACAGCTGAGAAGCCCAGGGATACAGTACTGCCACTGTGGCAGAATGGGATGCTGTGATTAGTAAGCCGGGCTAGGGAACAAACCCAGGGTATAGTGTACTGGGGAGGCATCTATCGCTGAACCACGCCCCCAGCCCCTCACTGGGGGATCCTAGGCAGGGGCTCAGTTACTGACTTACATCTCCAACTCTCTTTTTACTTTTTATTTGGAGACAGGGTCTCACTAAGCTGCCCAGACAGGCCTCAGACCTTTGATTTTGGTACCTCAGCCTCCTAAGTGACTGGGTGACAGGCCTGTGCCTCCATGCCTGAGTCACTCCAGGCTTCCTCTGTGCCCCAAGGTACCTTCTACACACACCTGTAGTTCACCCTCCAGCAGCCTATGAACAAGGATTAGTATTCCTCTCTTAGAAAGGAGAGGCTCACAAAATGGCTTTCTGGGTGCTGAGCTGGGTGGGGTTGGGCCAGGCTGAGCCTGCTCCCCTCTCCCTGGCTCTTTCTGGAAGACAGACAGAGAAACTGAGGCTGTGGATGCACAGGGAAAGGCAGAGTCCTCTTCCAGCCTTGCCTCCCCTTCCTCCTGGGGATTGTATCTCATTTGAACTGTGTCCTGGGTCCATTGTACCCAGAAGGGAGGGTGATGGAGGGCAGATGGCTGAGAAGCTCAGACTGTGTTGGTTACCCTGCACAGCAGGATCCTGTCTTCTGTTCTCCTGAGTCCTGGACATGCCCTGGGGAGCAGAGCTCTGCTAACCCAAAGTCTCAAACACAACACCACCTACAGGGGGCAGTTGGGGATGGGCGGGGAGTCCGCGGCTCTGTTTTTCCACCTCCAGGTCCCCTCCCACCAGCCCTCAATGGGTGTGTTTAGACCCACAGTGTGGGCTCACCACTCTCAGCCTGTCCATCACTTCTCCCCGCCCCAGACAGCAGCGACAGTGACATTTCTTGTAAACCTAAAAAATATTTTTTTGAGACAGGGTCTCATGTAGCCCAGGCTGGCCTTGAACTGAAAATGTAGTTGAGGATGACCTTGAACTCCATATACTCCTGTCTCTACCTCCCTAGTGCTGGGATTTCAAGTGCACACCATCACATCTGATTTATGTGGTGCTGGGACCCAGGGCCTTGTGCATGATAGACCAACGCTCTACCCACTAAACCACATCTCCTCTCCAAGGTTCTATGTTAAGACATGTCAAGCAACTTACCCTTGGCTGTTACCTTCCCCTCCATCCTCCTGAACCCCCATTGCCTCCTGTCCTAACAAGCCCCTAAGTCTGAAAACTCACTCTTCCTCAGGGCTTGTCCACTCATAAACCCCTCAGTCTCAAAGCCACTCCCATTTCCTCTTCTGATCAGCTCCCCTTCCCTCCCTCCCATGCCCAGCTAGAAAGCTGCCTGCTCTGAAGGAGGTCCTGGTTATACCCACCTGCCTGACTGGTGCCTGGCCAGATATGTCCACTTGGGGTTCCCATGACTTTACCCCACATGTGTGAGGTGTCTGAGTGACTGTGTGCCATGTGCTAGAGCCTCAGCCACAGCCTTTTGAGGGCAGAGCTCACCCAGGCTTGTAGGCTAGCTCAGTGCCTTCCCCAGCAGCCATCCCCCAGAACTCCTGGGACACCCACTCTCTTGGTACTAGGGAACCCAGGGCCTTGAGGGTGTTCAGATGAGTCTAATACAGAACCACACCCCAGCCCATGGGACATTCTTTGACTAGGACCCATAGCTGAGCCACAACCCCATCCCCTTACTGGGGGATCCTAGGCAGGGGCTCTACCACTGAGCCCCCAGCCCCTCACTAGGGTAGTCTAGGCAGGGCCTCTACCGCTGAGCCATTCCCCAGCCCCTCAATGGATTAAACGTTGATTAGGACCTGCCCTCTCTGGTACACCCAGATGTGTGGTTTGCTAATCCCCCAGCATCTCTCCATTCAATCAAGATGATAGTGTTAAACATCACAGGAGGATGTAGTGAGCCCAGACACACACACACACACACACACACACACACACACACACACACGTAATTCCCAGCTACTCAGGAGGCTGAGGCAGGAGGATTGGCTCTAGATGGAAGTCAGGCCGAGCTAAAGAGCAAAACCCTGTCCTCCCCCAAAAGAAAGAAAAGACACATAGAAAGGCCCCTGAAGGACATGTGTGGGCTTAACGAGGGTCGGTCTGTTGTGGAGGCTGTTTCTCTTTCTTGCTGATTTTTGGTCAAATGAGCACAGGTATACAACACCAGGAGGAAAGAAAGGCCTCTCAGCATGGGTTCTGTCTGTGGTTCAAATGCTACCAGCAAGCCCTGGTCCACAGGGACCAGTCAGTGTGTCTGGAAGCCCCTGCCCCTTTCCCTCCAGCCTCTCACTCTGTCCCCTGCACTAGAGATCTCAGTCCAGGCTCCAACTACTGGCCCACTAACCTGCAACAGGAACCTAATTCTTGTTTTCTTCTTAGGGGCTAGGGTGGGGGTGGGGTTGAGACATGGTCTCACTGCATAGCCCTGGATGGCCTCCAACTCTCAGCAATCTTCCTGCCTCGGGCTGAGTGCTGGAATTAATTTCAGGCATGTGTCACCATACAGGGTTAGAATGTCTAAGTTCTCACTGTTAAATAGATCTGCCTTCTGTCTCTTTCCCCTAAGACCACAGTGCCCTCTTTGAATTAGCAAGGGGCCTGGGTTGTTCACAGTCTTCGGGAAATGTATTTCTATGACTGGGAACATGGCTCAGTGGTAGAGCCCCTGCCTAGAATCCCCCAGTGAGGGGCTGGGGTGTGGCTCAGTGGTAGAGCCCCTGCCTAGGATCCCCAATGAGGGGCTAGGGTGTGGCTCAGGGGTAGAGCCCCTGCCTAGGATCCCCCAGTAAGGGACTGGGGTGTGGTTCAGTGGTAGAGCCCCTGCCTAGGATCCCCCAGTGAGGGGCTGGGGTGTGGCTCAGGGGTAGAGCCCCTGCCTAGGATCCCCAGTGAGGGGCTGGGGTGTGGCTCAGGGGTAGAGCCCCTGCCTAGGATCCCCAATGAGGGGCTGGGGTGTAGTACAGTGGTAGAGCCCCTGTGTATCACATATGAGGTACTAGATTCAGAAGGAGGAAGAGGAGAAGGAGGAGGAAGGGAGGAGTGCCACCACCAAATAAAATAGTGATGCAATTGCACAATAATACTTATTTTTGAATTCTTGGCTCAGCAGATGATGGTCACAAATGCCTGTCCTGTGTTTGGGCTTCTACTTCTTCCCCAGCATCTTCTCCACATCAGGGCTATCCAAGGTGCAGCACCACACACACACACACACACACACACACACACAGATGCACACATACACACACAGACGCACACATACACACACACAGATGCACACATACACACACACAGACGCACACACACACACAGGGAGAGGCAGACAGACACAGGCACACACAGATGCACACACACACAGACACACACAGTCATACATAGACACACAGACACAGAGATACATATACAAATACATATACACACAGAGACACACATATAAAGACACAGTCACACTCCCCACACACATGCACATACTCAGGTACACACCACATACACCCCCCACACACCCTCTGGTTCAGTCATACTGTGGAGAGCCCAGGCTCCCTCCCTGGTCACTCTGTCCAGGCTTCTCATGGTGTCCTTGCAGGTCTTGGGGTGGATGAGGCCCTATGATCATTGATATCATGGGCTTGACAGGGTCTAGAACCATCTGGGACATCTGGGAGACAAGACGCTGGGCATGTCCTGTTTGGTCCTTCCCTCCACGATGTTGTACTCCCCAGCATGAGGCAGAATAAACTCCCTTGGATATTTTGTCACAGCGATGAGAAAATTATGCAATATAGGCCCTTGGTGGACAGTCCCTGTGTGTGCTGGGCAGCCTGCCTGCCGGCCTCTCAGCATGGATGACACTGGCAGGATGGAGAACCGAACCCAATGTGGTGCTCAACATCTGCTGTTCCAGCACTCAGGAGGAGGAGGAGGCAGGAGGATTGCCGCGAGTTGAAGCAGGGGGGTTTGTTGTGAGTTTGAAGCCAGCTACAGTTTGGACTACACAGTGAGACCCTGGTTGGGAGCTGGAGAGCCCAGGTCTGCCAATCCCCGGTGTCATCTGGTATTGTCAAAGCCATGACCCGTTTCCTTTGATGGTGTCTGCTACCGTCTCTACTTTTATTTTTCACGTTTTCCTGTCCTGACTGAAAATCTTTGCCTTTGGCAGGGGGTGTGTGGGGAGACAGGGCTGCATGTAGCACAGGCTAGCCTCAGTTTTACTCAAGGATGACCTTCTGCCTCCTCTTCCCCAGTGCTGGCTTACACAGTGCCTGGGATGGAACACAGGGCTTCGTGTATGCCAGGTAAGCACTCTACCCTGTGAGTGACAGCCCCAGCCTCAAACCCCTGCCCTTTGGTAGAACTCTTAGCCCATTTTTATTGACTGTGGCCATAAACACCCTTGGATTGCTGCTGCTGCTTCCAAGTTATCCTGATTCCTGCACCTGTCCTTTCCCTCATCTGTCGTCTTCATGGATTTCTTCTGAGTTTATTTCCCCTCTGCACTGTTTTAGGATTTATATACAGTCTCTGTCTCTCCTCTTCAGTGCTTACCCTTAAAACGTCTCTTTTTTCTCAGGCTTTAAATTTTTTTTTTATGTGTATGAGTGTTTTGCCTGCATGTATATAAGTGCACCTGTGTTGTGTAATGTCCACGGAGGTCAGAAGAGGGTGTTGGATTCCCTGTAACAAGAGTTACAGATGTTTGTTAGCCACCATGTGGGTGCTACGAATCAAACCCAGGTCCTCTGTAAGAGCAGTCTGTGCTCTTAACTGTTGAGCCAGCTCTCCAGCTCCTCAGTTTGTTTGTTTTTTAAGACAGAATCTCACCATGTAGTCCAGGCTTACCTCCAACTTACCATCCTTCCGCCTCAGCCTCTTAAGAGCAGGATGACAGGTCACA